CCATGATATTGTCCAATTGTTGTAACTTCCTAGAAAGTCGCACATCACAAAAGTGCTCCCATACAAGCACACTTAATTTTGAAGTTTCTATTGAAATTCCAACTGTTGTACCTAAAAGTGTCTCAATGTTTAAGAGTTATGCTTTATTTTACTTGAGGGATTTCACAATCTCCCCCACTTAAGTAATCGACGTTCTCTTTAGTATTCTTAACTCAAAATCATCAAAATAGTATAATGCTTTGATAACATTTGTAATAACCCAAACTCTCACCCATTGAGATATTGACTTCTTTGGCCTCTTGATTTTGTCCAATTGGTGTAACTTACAAGGAGGTCACCCATTTCATGAGTGCTCTCATACAAGCATGTTTAACTTTGGAGTTTTTGTTGAAATTCTAACCGTCACACCAAAAGGTAACTAAATATTTAAGAGTCCTACTTCATTTTATTAAAGGGGTTTCACATTTTTTAATGTAGTTTTCAAATAAGTCAACAAGAATCTTATACGAGTAAATCAGTAAGAATGTGTTTTTCAAAAAGCAACAGCTTCATACTAAATCACAACACGTTAGTATGCAAGACTTATGAGTCTCAAGATAACAAACGATTTTTCTAGCTACTCATAAGCATAAAAATAAGCTTAATTTCCATGTTCGTGTCTCTACAAGAGCATGTGATATAAATGAAATAAGTATTAATAAAAACATGTGAAAGGTAAGTTTATTTTTTGCACATCTATTTTTTTGTTTCTACTAATATTTTAATGACAGGCTTTCAATAAATTATTTTTTTATTAATGGCACATAATAGTTGTGAATCAAAGAGAATACTATGACAGATGAATGTGAATATTAGTGATGAGATCATTAAGATTTAGGGATGGTTGATTAACTATGTTTTGTATACCATATTATTTCCATGTTTATTATAGTTGAAGGAAATATACCCGTGTTCTTACAAGAAGCTCCTATATGATCAAGAAGTTAATAGAATTTATATCTTTGGAAAAAGAATATCTCAAAAGAATATTAAGTGTTATTTTATATCTCTGAAACATATAAAATAAATGAAAGCTATTGGTAAGTGTGCCTAAGTTATACATTCAAACAAAATATAATTATAAAATAGGAAAATCAATCAAGCATATATTAACATTTTTTTACTGAAATGAATCAAACACCTAATACATTACAACCATGCATCTAACTCAAACACAAAAGATTATATAAGCAACATTAAAACATGAGATGTTCCCTTTTCCAATAGATTCATTAACAAACATAGAAATATTTCCCTTGAAAATGTACAAATAAAAAACCAAATAAATAGATTTTAGAGAGATTTGATAAAAGATACTCAAAGCACACCAATTCGAAGCCCTCCATAACCCTTCTTCTCCTGGTCTTCCATTTGCCGCTTTTAATTATACAAAACTTTTTGTAATTCAATTTAAAAAAGCATTTAGACTTCACCAAAGAACAGTGGGTTTCAATTCCACCTTTTCTTCACTGGGTATAGAATAAGAGCGGCCTGTGTGGGAGTATTATTCCTTCAGAAAAGAATTACCTCCTCAGCGGACTTATCCTAGAGTTTCTCAGAAGTTCTTCTTCTCCGTCGTTGGGGGCTTCTCCGGCGAAGACGACCGGCCGGCAAAGAGGAGTAGCCTTCTTCTCCGTCCTTGGTGATTTCTCAGACAGCCTTCTTGTTCGGTTCCGGGTAAGATGGTTCCTCCGGCAGCTTCAGGCTTCTGAAACGGGAGATCGGCGGCTCCTCTCGCGAAGCAGAGCTTAAATAACATTTTTTAGAAGGAGAGTCGGAATTTACTTCAGACAAAGTTATTGAGTTGTTTAATTGTTCTAAAAATGAAATAATAAAATTTTACATTTTTACTTACTTTTTTATCAGTATGCTGTTTGATTATATATATATATATATATATA